TTAGGGTTATGTTAATTAAATATCCACTTATCAGCTTAATAATGTTTAATATAGATTCTTATTAACATATAGTTTCAAAGGCCAGTGAACTTGTCAAATCTAATGAAAACAGAGTTCAAAGATAAAATTCTATCTTCTCTTTCTTTTACGAGCCTCTTAAAGATTCAGAGCACCTTTTAAAAGGCCTTTAGAGAAGATTAACCTTTAACATCATCATTACATCTAATGCTATCACACTTTTACAATGTCATTGATACCTCTTATAACCTGAGTTAGTTGATTTTGCTAACCATATGTAAAACTACTAAAATTTTCTTTTCTCCAGTCTCTTAGAGGAAGATTTTGTGGGTCTCCTTCCCCTCAGCTCAGTGCTTTTTGATAGAACTTTCTGCAGTGATGGAAATGTTCTATATCTGTACTGTTCAGTACATTGGCCACTGACCATAAGTGGCATGTTGAGCAGTTGAACTACGACTAGTGCAACTGATGACTTGAATGTGATATTTTACTTATTTTAGTGAACTTAAAATTTAAATTGAAATAGCCACATGTTGCCGGTGGCTATACTACTGGAAGCACAGCTTTGGTGTGCTTTTCAGAACAGACTGAATTCTGAGGAATCCACTTTGTTTTCCTCCTAGTCAGTCTTAATACCCTTGTCTCAGAGCAGGAATAATCCCCTTTTAATGTTACTGGTTATTCTTGTACTAATAAAGGTATTTCTTTCATTGTAACTCAATTTATAATCTATGGGTTTTATCATAAACTAAAAAGAAGTTTATTTATAGTAAGAATGCCAAAGTGGATATTTAATTCTGTGCATTCCTTACACAACAGGCGATAGTATATCTTTGCTCCTCTTAATCTGAGTCATCAAATTCTTTGGCAAACCTACCAATTTCCAAATGTAATCTTTACTTGTCTACGAATATAGCTGTCTGTTCTCTTAAATGCTGCCCATGGTGAAAGCAATGTAGTGCAAAGAGTTTAGGATTTAGTGTGGATTCCAAGTTTTCACCCTGGCTTCCTGAGCACGTTTTTTCCTTCTCTGAGCTGTAGTTACCCCACAGAGTTGTGAGATTTCTTATCTCAGAGTATATTGGGTTTCCTTGTCTTTCTCCTTACTTGAACCTAGAACCTTGTATTTCTGAAACAGTGTAGTGCCTGATATCAGAGTGAGTGTTCCATTAATATTTGTTTATATTGAAAAAGTGACAAACTATGTTTTATTTCAATAAATGCCCCTTCCTTACTCACAGTTTGCCCCCCCCCCCTTTTTTGTATCTGTACATTGGGAGACGGAATAAAAAACTTTCTGGAAGAAGCATTGAAAGGAAGAAGCCTTTGGTGATTTAAAACAGATATTAGTACATAGTTTTCTCCGTAGTTCTTTTTCTATTACATTTAAAGATGAGGTGCCATTTTTATGGGTGTTTACTATCTAACAGGTTTTCATATTTTATTTTTTTAAGTAACTGGTTACTTTAGAATGTTTAGAGAATTGTAAAATGGATGACTCAGCCTAAAAAGAAGTAACTTGTGTAAAGCATTTTCTGTAGTAGACATCACCCCAGGCTGATAATGCAGTCAATGAAAGTAACTTCTGCTTTGCACATGTTAGATACCCAGAGAAGGAACTGAAATAGGTGAGAGGATAGCAAGTCAATTATCCAAAATGTGAGTGCCGACAGCTGTGTGTTAGATAAAGAAATGTTTTACGTGAAGATTCTGATAACATGATTGATGACTAGGTTGTCTGTAGTCTTGGGGACTGGATTAAGGGGAGTGTAAACTTCAGAATGTTTAAAGTAAAACTGAAAAAGTACAACCACACCGAACACAAATGTAAGGTTTCTTTTTGCAAAGCATTCAACCCACTGCCCAAGAAAAGGCTTTCATCTTGAGAGATGAAAGAGTTAAGTGAAACTAGGACACTGAAGGCTACTACGGAAGCATGCATTTATTTGGGCATATGGTAGTAATCCACTAAACACATATTTATAATCTATTGGAGAATAACCAGAGCAGAATTTTCTAGGCAAAGATTCTGCCAGATCAGCTTGCTTTTTACTATGGAAAAAGAAAGATGAAGAGAAGCACATAGATCAATGTTATCTTTTTAATTTCAAAGTCACTTCAGTATTTCTCTTTTAAAAAGTATTTTGTTTCACCCTTAGAAATAGTTCTTCAGGTGCTGGGCGTCATAGATTTCAGTGAGCGATTTCATTATTTCTGTGCAGTCAAAAAGTTAATTGCATTTAAAGTCATTTGCATGGTCCTCAGTACAGTGAGTACAATGAGTTTGTAACTGGATTTCAAAGGAATGTAATGTCTGGTTTAGTTATTGATTAAAGAGTTAAACTATAGACATTGAAGATGCAGGATCAAATAATCTAAAATTAGAGGTCAGGATGTGTGCATAGGTGTTTTGCACACAAAGGCACTTAGCACTTCTTAATTGACTAAGGACTTCTGATTTCTAGCTGTCATTTTCTTTTCTTTTTTGTTTTTGGATTTTAAAATACTGGAAAGAAATTGTAACAACTCAGTCAAATATGCTTAGGGCAAAATAGTTTGTAATTGGCAAGGAATAATTTTTAGTTAATATAATTGAAATTATTCAGTTCTGTTCTGTGCCAAGTAAAATTATTGTTTATCAAGGATAAGTAATTATATATTGGTCTAAAATTAATCAATATGAACACAGAAAAGCTGGCCCTCAAACAGAATCGGGATCTCGTTAAAGCACAAGTTTGCAAAGTGAGGCCAATCATAGCACTTGTAAAATGAACAGAAAAGATTGCAAATGCAGGAGAATACAATGAAATTTTTAATCATACAATTCTCAAAGAATTACAAGATAGTTATTTCTGTATTTGTAAATTTTTATACCTACCTTTTAAAATAAATAGAATTTTAAAGTTTGAATAGTTTGTTTTATATCTGTCAACCGACAATGGAACTGTGAATAGACTGGAGGATGGTTGGCCTTCTGTATGTGACTGAGTGGAGGTTCATGATGTTTTAGAGAGATGCAGAACTTTCTTTCTTTTTTTTTTTTTAAAGCCAAGAATACTGACTGATAGACCATGGTCATTATTTTATGAATAGAGATGAACTAGAGATCAGAGATATATAGTGATTCTTCTAAAAATATTATGAACTGTAAATAAAGACTTATGATATTGTTGAATATCTACTGCTGGGGGTACCACCTGATGTGAGAAATGGGGAAATACTGGTTTGAATTAATTATAGCAGAGCTGTTAGCTTTGAGACAGAGGCTCAAGTAGATCAGATGTCCAAATTACTGATAGATCTGAGAGACAGTGGTGGCTGTGCTTGGCTGATTTGTTTCATATCACTCAATAAAGCAGCAGTTTTGTGGAAGTGGGGATTGTACGCCAAAGTTAAGGTGAAAGTTGTTGTATGAGAGGATGTGAAACACGCTCAACAGAGGTCTCTTATACCTGGGGTTGCCCCAAATGAGTCATCTTTTGCTATCATAAATCTTTAGTCTTTGGAAGCTGTTGTGTAACAGGCTTATGTCTGTCTCCACCAGCCTTGCCCTTCTCATTCTAAAAGGTCATGGACAATTAAGAAAATTCCATTTCATCCAGTTTAGCATGTGGGTCTACACTCATGGTCTGTCCACTGGGGTGATGCAAGATGGAAACACTGATTCCTTAAGTCTCTGGAGTTGTTGCCAACTGATCCATCTTTTCAGATCCAATTAACGTGGTGTGGGCTTGAGGCTGGATAAGTGTGCTTTCTCCAAAGCTCTAACAGGAACAACTAGCATATGTGTCTTCTATTTACATTCCTTTTTTTTCCCCACTGTTTTTTTTTCATTGAAGTATAGTCAGCTTACACTATTGTGTCAATTTCTGGTGTACACTTCAGTCATACATGGATATACATATATTCGTTTTCATATTCTTTTTCGCTGTAAGCTACTACAAGATACTGAATACAGTTCCCTGTGCTGTACAGTATAAGCCTGTCTATCTATTTTATATATACCAGTCAGTATCTGCAAATCTTGAGCTTCCAATTTATCCCTTATTTACGCTTCTATTCTCAAAGGCTTTTACTGTTATTGAAGCCTTCATCACATAAAAAAAAATGTATTTCCTAAACGTCATTCCCTAATTATGAAGTTCATAATTTAAGAATCTGAAGGTACTTTTCTGTGCTAAAATCAGAAATTATTACTGAAAACACAGACCTCATCTTTGAATCAAAGTATAAAGTACTGCATTCAGTGATTTTTGCCCAGTTGTTTCCTATTCACAATGGACATTTGTCACTGGACATCAGTCAGCTATAACCCAAATAGTGTTCTAGCTGAGCAATGCTTTATAGGTTTTCAACTTTTTTGAGGTAAGTGTTGGTCTGCTTTCAGTAATTTATTTGAGTGCAAGAGAAATCAAGACATCAGTAATTTTTTTCCTAAAACGTTGGCTTTTTTAGAAAGAAAAATAATATGAGCCTGTTGCAAATACTCAATTACTACAAAAGCACATTAAAATTGTTTATTGTATTCTCATTAGTAACCACATCTGTTATGTATCTTTCAAAACATTTTACACACAGATAATTTCTTTCTTCTCTCTTTCCCTCTTTTCGTCTATAGAGATGAAATGAGAAACAAAATTACATTTGAATGTATATATTACTATGCATAAACTACTAAAACTTGCTTAATTTTACATCATACTGTGGACATTCCTCTTGAAAGCCTCATATTGATACCTTTGTGGTGTGGAGGTATATGTTTTTACAGTTAACAGATATTACCAACGTATCCTTGGAATATTCTAGCTTATTCAGAAGAACTGTCTCTTACAGGAAATATGTATCTTTTTTACCAAGTGTCAGCCTCTTTCTTAGACGTGAACATAAGTTGGACACACAAGATTATTAGACTAACGGAAGGTAAAAAAAACAATTGGATGCATTTCAAACGTCTAAATATGGTCAGCGTTATCTCTCAACAGGGCCCATTTGGAGGCCAGTGCTGAGAAGTGGAACAGGTTGCTGACATCTTTAGAAGAACTGATCAAATGGCTGAATATGAAAGATGAAGAGCTTAAAAAACAAATGCCTATTGGAGGGGACGTCCCAGCCTTACAGCTCCAACATGATCATTGTAAAGTAAGTTGACCACAGATGGTGGGTGCCTTTTCTTTATTCATTTTGATTTTGGTGATGTGAATACTCAAAATAAAATACATATGTGAGTGGAATCGATTATGACAGTTTTTTCTTTCCCTCTGCTTATAATTCTCAGTATTTAGGCATTTTATTTAAATTGCATGCATTCCTCCCATTTGTTTCAAATTAAATTTTCTCTTTATATTTAACTAAAGTTTTTTTTAAAGCATTGCAGGTATCTAAAGCATAATATTGCTTTTAGCTGATCATGAAATTAATTTATTTCTAATAGATTTTAAAATGTTAATATATTATATTGGAAAAAACTTTTATTGTAAGTTAACCTTAAATTCAGAAGTTATTAGAGTCATAAAGAATTACAAACTATCTTGTTTTTGTTAAGTGAAAGTGAGAAAAATGACTTGTATTAGTAAGAAAATAGAATACATCTAAATCTTAAAGTGAATGAAGACCATTGTTTTTAACCGTCATATTATAGTTTTTTTGGTCTGAACTTAGGCCATTTACATACATTTTTATTCTGTTCAAATCTCTGTCTCTATGCAAATTTGTACTCTCACTCTGAAAAGTAGATATACTGAATGTTAATTCTTATACCCTTGTATTATTTCAATTCTTTGCCTCATAAACTTTCCATTCATTTATTTAATATCTCTTCATACCCATTTTCTCATATATCACACATAAGCTTGTTTTGTTATATTTTTTTATTCTTCACCTGCAATGCAAGTTCTTACTCTAAATCTGTGTATTTTAATGTGATGTTAGAATTCAATTCCCCTTAAAAACCAGCAGACAGTAACACATGCTGTGTCTAAAGGAAGGTGTCGTCTATGTGATAAGTTGCTTCAATTAAAAATGATAAGACCCTGAAATTTACTTCATTTTGAACCTTGTGACCAGGTTATTCAAGTTACCATTGGGGTAAATTTTCTCTTTCTATTTGAATAGAGGAATAGCTCTAAGATTAAAAAAAAAAGGGTGGGGGGAGATATTCTTGGTATATATAATATGCAAAAAAATGATAAAAGATTTAAAATTACTGAGTTAAGAAAGTCACATTTCTCCTCACTTTTTTTAGCTTTCCCTTTCTGAGGATTCAGGTAGTAGTGATGAGATAGAATAATACAAAGCTCTTCTAATAGAAGTGCTTTGTTAAGGAATAAAATGTGCTTGTGACCGTGTGCTACCATTTTGATGAAAACTGAAATCCTGAGCTGTGAAATGATTTCCCACTTCTGGCCGTAACAAGTAGAGTGCGCTTCAGCATTTCCACTGTGTGCTGCCATGTTCTAACTCCTTCCCCCCGCCGAGGTTGCCCCATTTTAGGTTGTGTTTCACTCTGTCTTAGGGTGCAGTTGCTCTGCTTCAACCTTTTGGACTGAGGCATTTAGATGATAAAGATATCATTGATAATGATGCTGATGATAATACCAGCTCATTCATTCAGCAAGTATTTGAGTGTGGAATATGCACCAGGCACTATTCTAGGCACCAGTGAATCAACAAATGAACCTAACGAAGTTCTTGCCTGCTTCTGAGTAGTGATACAGACACTAGACCAATAAGCAATAAATATATATCGTATGTCCCATGATAGTAAGTGGCATGAAAAAAAGGAAAGCAAGGTCAAGGAAAGAGAGAGAGGAATGGGACAGTATAGGCAGCAGGGGTGCTGTTTTATGTGGAGAAGGTTAGGGAAGAGCCACAAGTTGGATGAGTCTAACAGAGACCTGAAGTAAGTGTGGCAACAAGGAATGCTGGTTGTCGGGGGTAGAAATCTTAGGCAAAGGGAAACAGAAAGACATGGGCCAGAGAGGCTGCAATTTTCTGGATGTATCTGGGGACTAGCATGGACACTAGTATGGTTGAAGCAGTTTATCCAAATAGAAAGGTAAAAGTTGAAGTTCAGGGATGAATGGGAAGGGTTCAGATTACAAAGGTCCTTGAAAGCCCTCTGTAAGGGCTTTGGTTTTTGCTCTGAGTAAGATGGGAAGCCATGGAAAGGCTGGGTAATTACAGTGCTGTGATCTGACTTACATAGTCATTATTGGTTAAATTATGAAGAATACAATGTAGAGAAGTTCTGTCAGGAATGTATTTCAGTGATCCAGGCTGGGGGATAGTAATGACTTGCGCAAGGTTACCACAGTGAGGATAGTAAGAAGTGATTGGTTCCTGAATATATTGGGAAATAACAGCAGGATTTGCTTATGGACTAGCTATGTGGGATATGAGGGGAAGAAGGGAGTCATAGTAGAAATCAAAGGTTTTTGGACAAAGCAAATGGAAGACTGGAAGCATCGTTCAGAGAGACGTGGAGAACTGCTGGGTGAGCAGACTGGGGAGGAGATTTAAGAGTTTGTTTTCTGGTATTTTAAGCTTAAGATGGTGATTAGGCAGCTTGATATACCTGTCTGATGTTGAGGGAAAGGTCAAAAGGTCAGCACATATAATAGCCATGGAATTGGATGAGACGGTCTAGGGAGTCAGGAATTCCAAGGTGTGAGCCCCGACTCACTCTGCCTTCAGAGGCTGGGTAGGTGAGGAGACTGAGAAGGCATAGCCAGAGGGCAGAAGAACCAAGAGAGGACAGAGTCGAGGATACCAAAGAAGAAAGTGTTTCGTGAAGGAAGGTGTAGTCACAAGGGTCAGATATTGCTGTGAAGCAGAATAAGATGAGCACAGAAAACTGACCATCTAATGATGGTCTTGCTGATCCTGACAAGAGTGACCTCAGTGGTGTGGTGAAGTTGGAAACCTGATTAGAGTAGATTCAAGAAAGCGTGTGATCAGAAGAAGCATAGAGAACTCTGTCAAGGATTTTTACAATGAAGGAAGTAAAGAAATGAGAAGTAGCTGGAGAGAGAATGTGGGATCAAGTATTGGTTTTATAAAGATGAAGAATAATGCAACATGTTTCCACGCTGATGGGAATGATGGTGTAAAGCGGGAAGAGTCAGTGATAGAGAAGAGAGGGTACGACGTAAGAACAGTGATGGGGTGGGACGCACCCCAGTGCACAAGTGGAACGTTTGTGTTAGGTAGGAGGGCAAATAGTTCATCCTTTTTAACAGGAAGAAATGTGGATTATATGGGTATGGTTGAAGGTAGACTGGTAGAAAGTGGGTGTGAAGCACAGCCACTGTGAATGTTTTCTGTCATCCATGTTTAGTTGCTCCAGTGAAGGTGAGGAGTTCATTGGAGAGTTGCATCAGGGCAAGCAAATGTGATGGAGGAAGAGAGGGGCAGGAGAGTTGTAGAAATACAAGAGAGTTGTATAACAATTGCATAAGGGATTTGAAGCTGCCTAAGGGAAGATGTGAGGATATGGGAGAGATGAGGGATAGTAAAATGATGTTGGAAGTCAGTTCCTCCGTGGGGCTGAAGAATTGTTCAAATCGTGGAACTGTGGGGGCATGTTCTATAACAAAAGCAGGTGGTGGTCAGCGATGGAATGCTAAAATGGAATTTATGGAGGGGTGCATTTACTGTTTATGGCAGTATCCAGTGTCTTCTTGTGAAAATGAGCTGTGCAAGTTGAGTAGAGAGCAAGGCCTTAGAGGAGAGCAGGTCGAGTTGCTGAGAGGTTGGGGTAGTGGGAGGGTCGTCTACATGGGTAATAAAATCCCCACGACCAGGAAAGAGCCAGATGTCAAAATGATGACTGAAGAAGGAAGGGTAATGAAGATTCTGATGTAAAGATGATGTTTTCATGTTCCTTTAATCCTTCAAGTCTTGAAACTACTCAGAATCTGCTTGGTTAGGGATAGGGGAGAGGAATAGTGTAAGGAGGATACAGATTGCCCCTTCTTTCTAGAATTCTTGGTGCCTGGTTCTAGACTTTTCTCAGGCTACTGTCACTTCTTTATCACAGTTGCCATCACTTAGCACATTGTGCATGATCCACACTACTGCTGAGGGGTTTATCTTATGATTAAGTGAAGAGTTTCCATTTAACAGTCTGTGTTTTTTTAACTTTCTGAGTTGTGTACTAGACGGTGTATATGAATAGCCCAGATGGAGCCTCTGAGTATGTGTTATCTCATTGTTATAGTCTCACTGGAAATAGTCCTTGGTAGCAGTTCATGTTGATTCTAGATTCTAGAATGTATTTTTTATGGTCCATCATAGTCTGCCTTCCAATTTATCAGTGATCCAAAACTATAGGCTTTCTTAATGTTTTGTATTATTAATGTTTCGATGAAAGCTTCACATTTAACTTTGAGAATGAATTAGGAGAAATAAATTATGGAATAGATTTTAGAGTCAAGTTTGTAGAGATGTGTATTAGTTTGCTAGGTCCACCAGAGGAAAACCCACATATAGGTGGTTTAAACAACAGAAGTTCATTTTCTTCCAGCTCTGAAGGCTAGAAGTTGGAGATCAAGATGTCAGTAGGGTTGGTTTCTTCTGAGGCCTCTCTCCTCGATTTGTAGATGGCAGTCTTCTCCCTGTGTCTTCACATGGTGTGTTCTCTGTAGGTATTTGTGTCTTAAAACTGCTCAAAGTGTCTTCTCTTATAAGGACACCCACCCTAATGAATGACTTCATTTTAACTTAATTACCTCTTTAAAAATCCTATCTCCAAATACAGTCCAGTTCTGTCAAAAGTAACCTTCTTTCCCAACTGCCAAGAGTAGTGTTTCTAATTGCTGTAAGTTCTTACAACGAGGGTGAATCACTATGCGTTACTACAATTCGGGCAATATTTAAAGATGTGACAGCTACCCGTAGTTGTTTACCTTTCTTGCTGAACTTCTCCAGCTATGGACATTGGATAGTCTATCCGTAGTTGACCCTCTGCCTTGCCAATGTTCTAACCTAACATAATTTTCTAATTTAGCCTTAATCTTTTCTTAAAATCAGAATCCATTTCAGGGTACATGTGGCTGCTTTATTTTTCAGGCAAAATTTTTCTTTCCTATGTCCTTGGAGATATTTTTCCCTGGCCTTCAGATTTTTTTTTTTTTTGTCAG